TCTTTGGAAAAGAACCGAATGCCCTTCTTTCTGGACCCTTTGTGGGCACACATCCAGTCTTCCTCTCCTCCTCCTCATTTACCTTGCCATTAATGGTCTTTTCCAAGGCACGATCCCATTTACCTCCATTACTCTTACCCTGACCCCATCAAGTCAATTCTTCATGAAGTGATTTTTATAAAACTCAAATCTGACATAACTCTCACGTGTAAAACCCTTTTCTGGGTGCCACTGTCTTCTGGGTAGAGTCTGAAGTCTGGTATCAAAGTCTCCAAGACTTTTTTGGTCTTTTGATTTTTTTTTTTTTTTTGCGGGGAGGGGGGTTGGCAGTATTGGGGATTGAACCCAGGGCCTTGCACCTGCTAGGCAAGTGCTCTCCTACTGAGCCACATATCCTCAGCCCTGTTGTTTTGTTTTGTTTTGCTTTTTGAAACAGGGTCTTGCTGTGTAGTTCAGGCTAGCCTTGAGCTCACTAGGTAGCCCAGGCTGGCCTCAAACTTGTGGTGATCCTCCTGCCTCAGCCTTCTAGGTCCTGGGATTACTGGCATGCACCACCACACCAGCTGCTTTATTTTTCAGTATTCCACTTCTCTCAGCAATGCCTACCTTCATTATCCTTTGCATTGTCCCACGTGTCTAAATCACCTCCTCTGTGAAGTCTTCTTTGAACCACTGAGTTTGGCTTTTCTGTTTTAGTTGTCTGGCTTAAGCTCTTGGTAAGATTTAACGCTTTTTTTGCCACACACCCCCTATTTAACACTTTAAATTGTAGATGTAACTGTACACACTCAAAAGCAAAAATGATGTTTAATGATGTCTTGTACACTGTGTGATCTGGCACCCCATAGAGGTTCAGGAATGCTTATGCTGAATGAAGGTCTCTGTTGTCTGGGTAGGCATTGTTGTAGTTCAAGGCTAAGACCATTTGTAGCCCTACCTCGGGAAGCGAGGTAAGAGGATTGTACGTTTGAGGCCAGGTTGAACAATTTAGCAAGACTCTGTCTTAAAAGAGAAAGGAAGGAAGAAAGGAAGGAAGGGAGGAAGGAAGGAAGAAAGAAAGAAAAAAAGAAAAAAGAGAAGAAAAGAAAGGAAAGGAAAAGAAAAAAGGGAGAAAGACAGACCTAGGAATGTACCTCAGTGCACTTGCCCAGCATTCAGAGGCCCTGGGTTTAATCCTCTGTACCAAAAAACAAAACAAAAAACTATTGGAGAGTAATAAAAGCATAAATGTTAAAGTGAATGCTTTAGGTAAATCCTAACCTCCCTGAGGCTCAATTTTAATAATCTGTAAAATTCAGATAAAAATAGGTTAGAATAAAATAAAATTATGCACATAAAACACTTGGCATATACGAGGCCCCCAATAAATTTACTAATGCCTGACTCACAGAATGTTTAATATTAAATGAATAAATGAGCAAATTAGGATCACAAGGACGGGATAAATGGCCACCTATGCCTCAAGAGGCAATGTAATGCCAGGCTCGGTGGCACACACTTGCAATCTCAACACTGGAAATTTGAGCCAGAAGGATCGCAAATTCAAACCCAGTTTGGGCAATTTAGTGAGACTCTGAAAAGTGGCAGGGAGATGTAGCTCAGTGTGAAGGGCCTGGATTCAATCCCCAGTTACAATAAAAGAGAGGGACTGTCAGGGGTGGGGAACAGACTGACTTAATGTTCATAATTATTAAAGGTGGAGTACAGATATCTGGAGACTTATTATCCTGTTCTCTGCTTTCTTTGGTATATTTTTGAAGTTGTCCATAATGTGTAAACATTGTATTGTGTCCCTAGTGTGAGAAGCTGAAAGAGTAAACAAGATCCAAAATGTACAACAGATATTGGAAAATGGAAAGAAACTTCAAAAGGAAAGAGAAACTTTCCTTTTGGGATGGGGGAATGAGAAAAGAAGGGAGAAGCAAATATATATATATATATATATATATATATATATATATGATAGTTAAGACAGTTATACTACTAATTTCTCTTAGTTCATTAAAAAAAGGTTTGTGATAATATTGTTTGGACAATTAAATGCCAATATCTTGTACTCTGAGTGATTAATTTAAAGATAACAATATGCAATGTGTTAACCATTGTTACCCCATTATCTTGTTTTAAAATTTTATTTTTTTCTTTAAAAAAAATAAATATGAGGGATTAAAAAAAAAACTCAAAGAGATAATAGGGCAGGAGTCCTAGACTAGGCATTAAGAAAAAAGTTAGACTATCAAAGAGAAGACAGGATCGGGGGGAGGTGAAGCTCAGTGATAGAACATGTGCTTAGCATGCTACAAAGTCCTGGGTTTATCCCCAGCAGCAAACAATAAAAAAGACTAATTATAGGACCTTTGGAAAATGAATTAACCCTTAATAGATCTGCCACCCCCAGGGCCTAACACTACCAACAACCTTGTAAGCCTAGACTTTCAACTAATTATGCGTCTAGAGCCTTTTTATTTATTTATTTGTGTGTGTGTGTGTGTGTGTGTGTGTGTGTGTGTAAGCGTGTGCGCGCGCATGCCAAGGATGGGAATCTGGGGTCCCTGGCATGGTAAGTGAGTGCTCTATCACTGAGTTATACCCCTCCCTCTGGAGCCAATTCTTTGTATCTTAACTCTTGATCTTTTTGCTTTTCTTCCCTGCGATGTGGTTAGTCTCCAGTGATGGAACTCCAACCCAGGCATAAATGTGCACACCTGTAACCCAGCACTCAGGGGAACAGAGAAAGAAGTATCGCATGTTTGAGCCCAGCTTAGCTGGCCAACTTAGCAAGACCCTGTATCAAAATAAAAAATAAAAAGGGCCAGGTGTGGTATCATGCCTGTAATCCCAGAACTCAGGAGGCTGAGGCAGGAAGATTATGTCTGAGGCAAGCCTGCCTATGTAGTGAAACTCTGTCTCATAGAAACAAAACAAAAACAAAAAGGATTGAGGATGTTTTAAGGCCTTGGGTTCAATACACACACACACATACACACACACACACACACACACACACACACACACACACACACACACACAGAGGCAAGCCCAGGGCCAAATGCAAGGAACCCTGCAAGCTAGAGTAAGAGCCCTGGGGCAGCTGCTGCCTCTACCCTACTCCACAATTTAGGAGGTAATGGTTCCCCTAGGGAAAGAGGCACTTAGTGGTGAAAATGAAGCTAATTAACAGAATGCCAATTAGTTCCTGGAAACTGCTGCATATAGGAGGGGAATGTGTGTCTCCTTGAAAAGCCAGAGGGCTGGACACAAAGGAATGGGTGAGGCAGAGCAACCTACTCCCCTCTCTTCACATCATCGCCCACCCGGCTCGGCCCTCTCTCAGGAAGCCTTTCTAAGCTCCTCACTCTACTCTGGGCTTTTCTTGTCTCTGTGGCCAGTGCTGAGACGGGTGAGAGAGGCTAGGGGCAGGAAGGGCATAAGCCAGAACTAACTGTGCTCAATGTTTTTCTAATTGCAAAATATTTTAGACATACAAAGTTATGACTATACATGTATGTGTGTGTGTATATAATAATGCATACACACACCATTCAGCTTAAAAAATTGAATTGAGTGAATTGAAGCTTTTTCTCCCTTCTGGGAAGTAACGAGCCTCAATCTGGTGTATGCATGATGCTTGTTCACAGAACGTGCCATATATTCTAGTTCTTCCCTCTGGAGCCATGCTGCCTAATAGAACTTTGTGCAATGATATAAATGGTCCACACCTGTGCTGTCCAATATGCTAGTTACGAGCAACGTATGGCTGGTGTGAAGTTCTCTCTCTCTTGTGCTAGGATTGAACTCAGGGTCTTGTAACACTGAACAAGCACCCAACAAATGACCTCCTCAGTCCTTTCGTTGTTGTTCTCTGAGACAGGGTCTTGCTGTACAATTTAGGCTGGCCTTGAACTCACAGTAATCCTTTTGCCTCAGCCTTCCGTCAGTGGCCAGCAACTTGGATAACGATGCCCCAGGATGTAAGTGCTATAAGGGTAGGAACTTTGTTGTACTCATTTTTTCTTTTTATGTTGCCTGGGCTGGGTTTGAATCTGATAGTCCTTTAGCCTCAGCCTTTTTACTAGTTGAGATTACAATAGCCCCTGCATCCACCTGTTGCATTTACTGCTGTGAGTCTAGAAGAGTAGCCAGCAGATAGCAGCAGGTACTCATTGAAACTTTAGGTCAGTGACTAAGTCAATAAAGTAAACCAACTGGGCTGCCGGGCATGGTGGCACATGCCTGTAATCCCAGCACTCGGGAGACTGAGGCAGGAGGATCCTAGCAAGTTTGAGACCAGGCTGGGCTACATAGTGAGCTCAAGGCCAGCCTCAACTGCATAGCAAGACCCTGTCTCAAAAACAAAAAAGAAGTAAGCCAATTATACAAATATTATTCCCATTTCGAAGTGGGGACCACTAAGGCCCAGAGAAGTGATATGACTTGACAAGGTGTCCTGGCTTCTAAATGCTAAGTCCAGGGGCTGGGGATTTAGCTCAGCAGCAAAGTGCCTGCCTGGCAAGCGCAAGGTCGTGAGTTCAATTCCTGGTACCGGAAGAAAAACAAACACAAACAAAAAAATGCTAAGCCAGGATTTGAACCCAATTCTGATCTCAAGTCTATGAACCCAGGGCCTCAAACACTAAGCATGAACACTACCGCTGAGCTACATCCCAGCCTCAAGACTACATCTTTTACCACTCCCAAAGGGACTCTGCTAAACCTCTCCTAGAGCTGTCACTTGAACAAGAGGCAGCCTGTCCAGGCCTTCCGGGGCAACCCATCTCCCATCATCACTGGGTGTCCGGTTTGCCCTTTCTTCCACCCCGGCAGCACCGTGTGAATACGTCCTCTCAGCAGCCAGGAGACTGAACTCTGAAGCCACAGACAGGGAGCACCAAGACGCAAACCGGAGAGAGAAGTAGGGTGGACAGAAGTGAGGAGGTTGGTGTCCTGCACAGATGGGCACAGGCACCTGAGATGAGTAATCAGCTCTTTTAACGAAGAGATATGGGCTTTTTCTATACTTTTATTTATGAAATGCTTGTTCAACTGGTACAAAGTTAGTGTCCGTCCACAGGTTAGTGGAGGAAGTTAGTTGCCTTCCTTCTCACTCTGCCAAGGGCTGCAGCCCAAAGTGGCCTTCTCCTTCTTTTTATCTTGGCAGCAATGGGCTGGGAAAGGCTTTGGGCACAGAGGGGGCTCAAGGGGAAGAGGAACAGGAGAGATGGGGAAGGTCCAGGGCAGCACCCCCTCCTCCTGGGATCAGAGGCTTCTCTTCAAGTGTCCTGGCAGGATTTATGCTCCTCTGGAGCAGTGGTCTGAGTCAGGCAGCGGGGGGATGACCCTTTTCCTCTGTCACTGTGACCCTTTCCTGTCTTCCCAGGGCAAGTTCAGGAGTGTCCTCTTTGTTACTTATCAAGTAAAGGCCCACTGTGACTTCCCTAGTCCCCTTCAGGGCTGCCTGCTTCCCCAGACCTCAAAGGGCCCTGCCCTCGGTCCTCGGAGCTCAGGACCAGGAAGCTAGACACAGTGGAACCCAGAGCTGCTGACACCTCGCTGTCTGGAACCTCGGCTATGTCCATACTTCTAGGGGGATCATGCCCTCCTTGCTCCCCAGGGAGGGCAGCAAAGATTCATCCTCCAGGAACTTGAGGGGAAAGTGAACCAGGTGGCCCTGGACCTTGGTGAGCTCAGACTGGGCCAAGGGAGGGCTGACCACAGCCAGAGGCGTCACAGCCACATACTCCCGGAGAGTCCGCAGGGAGCGTATGGCGTTGGACGGCAGGCATCGGAAGATCTGAGGGGGGCAGGAGGGGGCACATGGAAGGCAATTAGTTCTGGAGAGACTCTCCCAGGAGTCTAACCCAACTAGGCTGGGCTTCCCACTCCCCCACACTACCTTCAGTACCCTCACGACAGGCCACCGAATCCCCTAGTTGTAAGTGCTCCCCAGACCCTCATCACCCTTCTGAGAAGGACTATGGTGGGACTTCTCTCCACCACCCTAGCAGGATAATCCACCAGTTTCCACCTGCTAGCTCCCCTCTGCTCCCACCTGCTCATAGATATTGGCGTTGTTCTCGGCTCTCTCTTGCCACAGCTGGAAGAAGTCATCACAGACCGGGTCCCGGAGATCCAGGTCTGAGCAGGCATTTGCCCCGAGAATCACACTATGGAAGGAAAGGTCCCAGTGGGGCCCAATTAAAGTCTTAAAAAATAGTACCTCTTTTTTTTTTTTTTTTTGATGTTCTTACTTTGCTGATACCTAAACTGGGTTAGTCTGCTAGTTCTGAGCAGTCCCCACATCTAGCTGAAAAGGCACACCCCTCATGGCCTCCCACCTCCACCTGCTGGCACCCCGCCCAGCTCTACCTGAAACAGTGCTTCCGCAAACTCAAGGCAAACCTGCCCGCCTGATACTCCGCCCCATCCATGAGGGATGGCACCATCTCTGTGTCCTCGATCAGCACGGCCAGCTCACTGTCCCGCTTCCCTAGCAAGCTCCGGTCATTGATGTTTGCAGAACCTGGGGTGAGTGTGTGACAAAGTGTCCACTTGGGCCCAGGGGAGCTCCCCCTCCGAATCTCAGGCCCTCAGCGGGCAAGTATCAACGGTAGTCTCTGTGCTCCCCACGCTGCACTTTGCCCCTTTCCCACCTTCCTCTCAATGTCAGAGACCCAGATCTAGTACTGACCAATGATGACCGTCCTGTCATCCGCAATAAGCATCTTGCTGTGAATATAGATGAGCTCTGAGATTGGGTGCCCGCCCAGCTCTCCGTGTGTGCGAAGCCCACAGATGGATATGTAGTCTCGCCACGCTGTCCCCACTGCACACAAAAGAGATGGAATAAGAAGGGGAGTGAGGTGAGACGAGCCCCGTCCCACCTCCTTCCCTACTCAGAAGCTCCATCAAGAGTCTGCACCCCTCCCTGCAGTGAAAGACCACCTGTGCTCTATTTTTTTTTTTTTTTTCTGGTACCAGGAATCGAACTCATGACCTTGTACTTGCCAGGCAGGCACTGTGCTGCTGAGCTAAATCCCCAGCCCGCCACCTATGCTCTAAGTAGCCCCTAAGCATGCAACAATGACAGTCTCCCCACCCCTAGGCCTCAAGCAATACAAGCTCATTTCCCCAGGGTTACAGGGCTGGAACCCCCAGAGCTCAGCACTCACTAGCTGCTTTGAGGCGATGTAGGATTGAATACTCGCCGCGACACAGAGTCCTGAGAGGAAAGAAGCATGAAGAACATTAAAGAAAGAAAGGAAGTGTGAGGGAGATGGAGGCTGGGGCAGAAGAGCGGGTGTCAGGAGAGCTGGATTTCAAAGGTTCCGAAAGAAGGCATCAGGACAGAGTTAGGAGGGGGATGGATGGGATGGGATGGGGCCACTGAAGGACACCCCGGCTGGGGGCTCACCTGTATGTGAAGTGCAGAATGGCCTGGATAGAGTTACCACCACCTGTAGTGATGTCGCCCTCAAAGCCAGGGAGCAAGGGCAGAAGCACATAGACTCGGAAACACTGTCCCTGTCTGAGGAGAGAGGCGGAGTCAGAGGGAGGCCGTCCCTAAAATAAGCCCCACCCCCTCCACCTGGGCTTAAACCACGCCCACTGTCCCCACCTTCCTGACAGTCCACCTTACTTGTGGGCCTTCAGGATTCTCTCCACAATCTCATCGCCCACCTTGTTCAGCACCGTGCGCCCATCTGAGCAGCTAATGAAGAACTGATTCTAGCGGGGACCAAAGACAGACATTAGCAGCCTGGCCCCAGCCCTTGCCATTGGCGGCACCCTCACTCTCTCTTCTGGAACATCCCGTCCACCTCCTCCCCCACCCTCATGCCAGTCGGACCTCAATGTAGAGGAAGTGCTTGCTCTCCCTGATGGTGTGCAGGTAGGCATTGAGGATGGAGTTCTCCAGCGTCCCTGCTGACCAGCGGTCGATGGACCGCAAGACCTATTGGAACGGTAAGTAGGATGTGATTCTTGGCCCCAGGAAAGGAGGGATCTGGAGTTCTGTCATGCTAGGGAGAGTCAGCGGGGCATCTGGCTGAAGGCAGGAGGGGAAAGAGGCTAGCTCACCTGCACAGTGGTGCACTGCACCCCCGGGAGTGTGAAAGGGAGCTGGTTTGCAGTGCTGGTGGACTTGGGTAGCAGGTAGGGGTACATGGGTGTCTTGTACTTAGCCTTGGTGGTCTGAGGTAGAGGGACAGCTCAGTCAGCAGGAGGTGACAAGGTGAGCCTGGGTCCCTCCCCACCTCCATCCCCCACTAGAAGAAGGAAGCACCTTGGTGAAGTTCCAGCGCTGGATGAAGTGCCGGGCAAGGTCACGGGCCGCTAAGCCATGGACGACCACCCCAACATCCCTCCATGGCATCCGGGGTGTGGTCTCCCTGTCAATGAAATCTGGGAGTCCCAGAAGAGTCAGGGAGAGGTCAAGGCTGGTCTCTGGGGGATACCTGGTGCAGGGAGGAGGAGGAACTTGCCAGAGGGGAGGATGACTTGTCCCTGATCACCTCCTACTCTCCGTCGCAGCTTCCGCCCCTATTCCAAGCTCTTAGAGGCCTTGGCTTCCCCCTTCCTCCCAGCTTTTAGAGGCCTTGGGGTGGAGCCTCACCTTCAAAAGGCCTGTCTAACTGCACCCAGTCCTTGGTGATGAGATTGCTGTAGTCCTTGCCCAGCCAGAAGAGTTGGTTGTGAGAGAGGTCTGGGGTGGCTGCAGGGTCTGGGCATGGGGTGGCAGGCTGTAGGAGGAACACACCCAAGCCCCAGCAAGGCGAGGTCAGAGGCCACACAGAGCCAGGCCAAAGAGAAGCCAGAACTTGGAAAGAGTGTGAGGGAGATACAGACAGCAGGAATGAAGCAGAGAGAGGCTTTGATCCCCCAGAACCCTCTCTGGAGGGACTTGGAGTCAGCGGAAATGGAGAAGGGCCTGGATTATAGCATTTTCAGAGTGATTCTTGGAGTCTCAGACAGTCTGAGGATCTCCGAGGGTGAGCAGAGCCAGGAATAACTGGAGGGGAGTCTGCAGCCAAGGCAGATGGCTCTCGGTGATCTGCTTTTTAGGGGAGCGAAGGAAGGCCTTGGGGAAATTACCTGCGAGGCACTGGATTCAGATGAGTCTGAGAGGTCAGTCAGCCGGTAGTGAAGGTCATCCCAGCGGCCATAGGCGAGGTCCAGCCCCCCCAAGAAGGCCACTGCTTGGTCAACCACCAGGAGCTTCTCATGATGGGCCCACAATGTCACCTGGTCTGGATGGCGCATCACCTGGAGCAGGTATGGAGGAGCTCATGAGGGTAGGTTTAGGTGAGAAGACAGAGGGAAAGATAGAAGGATAAGGCCTCCAGGGAGAAGGAGGGGTGAAGGAATAAGGAAGTTCGAGGAGGGCTGTAGAATGGGAGGGGTCTCTTTGAGGCCTGAAAGTCACTTTTTCTTTTGGAGGCAGGATCTCACTAAGTCACTAAGTTGCCCAGGCTGCGCTCAAACTTGGGATCCTCCTGCCTCAGCCTCCCAGAGTGCTGGGATTATAGCCATGAGCCACTGTACCCAGCTAAGTCACCTTTATGTTGGGGTGGAGCAGCATCAGTGTCCTCTTGCTATAGCCACTGTTGATGCCCAAGGCCAATTCCACTTCCTTAAACAGCAGAACAGACACACGAACACCCTCCTCCTGGTAGTGGGGGAATCAGAAACTAGTGCCTCTCCCAGAAGGCCCCCTTTCACCCTCCAAAACCCTTCCCCATACTCAGGATTCCTTCATGTCTTCCCACCCTGCCTGGAGGTCCCAGATGCTCTGACACGAATGTATCCTGCCTGGATGCCTGCAGCAAACTTAGACAGCATGTCACCCATCCCTCACCTGCTCATCCATCCACACATCTACCTACCCGTCCACATTACCTATCTACCCATCTTCCCAGCAATTTACTCATCCTCTTATCTACCATCTAGCGTGCAACTACCTACCCACCCACTCTCCTATACCTTCACCTTTCCAACTCATGTCCTTCCATCCATCTCCCTTTCCACTTCGCCACCCGCCTTCTACTTAGCCACCCCTCTTCCATCACCCATGTATCCTTCCTTTAACCCATCAACACCCACAAATGCTCACTACACCTTAGGTGCCGTGCTTTGTACTCAAAGTAGTGATGTTAATCAGTCCAGTGAGAAAGCCAAGTATACCTCCGGGTAACACAATAAAGTGTTATGGGTACTGGGGGAGAAGTTTATGCCAGTACTGGGAGGACGGAGCTGGAAGCAGTAGTGCCTGAGAGGCATGGAGCCAGCCTGGGCAGGCTTCCCTCCCCCGAAGCCTCAGAATCCCAACCTCTTCTGATGCTGCAGGCCCTGTGATCAGCCTCTACCCACAGGCAGTCCCTACCGCGCCTCCCCTCCAGCCTGTCTGACTCCTCACCGCTGCCTTCTTGAGCATGATGTCCAGTCTCCAGTCATCTGAATGGGCCGGGCGTTTCAGGTAAACCTCAGGACTCAACCTAGGATTCAAGGCAGAGGTTGCAGTGCAAGCTAAGCTCCAGACAACCAGTCACTCCTCCCCTTTGCCCCTATGCTGATCTGCCACAGGCCCTATCCTGCCCTTTTTTGTGGGGTCCTTCCCCCACTTACCACCAGTCTGTGATGAAAATCTCCTCTCGGGCTCGCAGGATGGCATCTGCCACAGCAGCAAAGTAACCTGCCCCATTCACAAACCTAGGGGAGGCCAAGCCAAGGAGGTCAGGGGAGTCAGAAGCCAGAAAGCTCTGGAGAGTGAAGAAGAGAGGACAGACTGGGATCAGAGGTGACTATAGTGTCAAAGATCAGGAATGATCAGAAAAGTCAGATGGTATCACATACATCAAAATGGGCTTAGCCAGGATGATTTACCCATGAATGTTATAAAAATTAAAAGTGACATGACACAGTAAACTACAGAAACTGACTAAAGACTGGGGGGATTAATACATCACATGGAAAGAACTCCAATAAATCAGTAATGACAAACAAAGCAGCCAATGAAGAATGAGCAGAGTGAAGACTCACAGTTCAGAGAGGAAATGATGGTCAATCATAGGTAAAGATGTCAGTTTCAGTAGTAAACAAGAAACTGAAATGAAGTGACTTTTTTCTTTTGGTGCTGGGTACTGAATGCCAGGCCTTGTGCTCTGCTACTGAGTTATACCTGCAGCCCCTGAAATAACATTTAAAAAAGAATCTACTAGAAGCTGGGTGTGGTGGTGCATGCCTGTAATCCCAGCACTTGGGAGGCTGAGGCAGGAGGATCGTTGTGAGTTCGAGCCCAGCCTCGGCTACAAAGTGAGCTCAAGGCCAGCCTGAACTGCATATTGAGACCCCCATCTCAAAAAAGACAAATAAATAAATAAATAAAGTATTAACTGTACATACCCTCTAATACTATGAAGTACATATAATAATTTTATTTTTAGAAATACATTTCCTCAAATGCTTAAGCAAAGACTGAGCTTATGGCAGCACTGCCTGCAAGAGAAATGGGGAATGACCTAAATGTCTAATCTCTCACATGTGCAGTAAGTGGAAAATATAAGTTTCAGAAGAAGGTGTGTTATCTAACTTACATTAAAACAAAAAGTGACATGTATACATGCATATGAAAGTATGCAGGAAGGAACCTAAAAGGATAAATATCAAACTGTTGCCAACGTTACTGCTCAGAGGAGAAATGGGATTGTTAGGGGAGAGTGCAAGGGGGATAAAGAGTTGTACACTGAGTGGGAATGTTGTGTTGTTTTGTTTAATTTTGTTTTTGAGACAAGCTGTGAACTATACTTGCTGTGTAGTTCAGGTTGCCCTTGAGTTCACTATGTAGCCCAAAGCTCACAGTGATGAACTCAGTGATCCTCCTGCCTCAGCCTCCCACATGCCAGGGTTAAAGGCGTGCACCACCATGCCTGGCAATGAGTGGAAATATTAGCTTTTTACTTAATGTGTTACTATATTGTTTGCTTTCTTTTCCCCAAAGGGTGTTGGGAAACAAACCCAGAGCCTCCCATGTATTAGGCAAGCAAGACAAGCACTCTGCCACTGAGCTGTATCCCCAGTCCTTGACTTTTTAAGAACTAAGAGTCGCAGATACAGTAGCACACGCCCATTGTCCCAGCTACTTGGAAGGCACAGGCAGGAGTAACACAAGTTCTAGGCCAGCCTGAGCAACTTAGCAAGACTCTGTCCTAAGATAAAAAGGGCTGGGGATGTAGCTCAGTCGCACAGCACTTGCCTAGCATGCTCAGGGTCCTAGGTTCCATCCTCAGCCACACACACACACACACACACACACACACACACACACACACACGTCGCCTGTCTCGTACAGTTGTAAGGATCCAATAGGTTAATGCGTGTCACATACTTAGTCTGTGGCATACAGTAAATCCTACATAAATAGTAGCTGCTACTAGTTCCTATGTTAAAAAAAAAAATCTCAACACCACCTCCAAGAAAAAGTTCTGCTTACAATAAAGTTCAAGTTACTCGGCTGAGCATGCCGAGATCAGGTGCTGTGGCCTCACAGGCTCTTCTCTGACTGCTCCTCCTCTCTCTGCAGCAACAATCAGTTCTCTTAGTTCCCAAACACACCAAGCTGCTCCTATGTTCTCTGCCTGGACTGCTCTTCTCCACTTTCTTTATCTTGCTAAAAGCAAACCTCAGGGTTATACCTTCTGGAAGCCTGACCTGATATTCCCCCGCTGTGCTCTGCATCCATCACCAGTAAGGCAAATTCACATTGTTTCATGATTAGATCACCTTCTTCCCTAAAGGGGAGAGGCCTGTCTTGTTGCTAGCACTGGACCAGGCACACAGTAGGGGTTTAGAAAACGGTTATCAAGTAACAAAATTTACCAGAGAGGTTTGCGGAGATGATAACCACAGGAGGTCGTTGCTATGTAAAAGGTTGTAAGACATCAGAGAAGTCAGGGGCCAGAAGCGATTACCAAGTTTGGGGGTCAGGAAGGTCAAAGGGGAGTCAGAGAAATCAGTGCAGTTAAATAGATCAGGGGTTCAGGAAAATTAGAGAAGTCCAAGCAGGGTCATAGAGGTCTGCAGGGGCAGAAGAGATAAAAGAGAGGGTCAAGACCCTGGAAAAAACCAAGGGAGTTTAAAAAAAAAAAAAAAAAAGCTACACACAAGCTCAGAAGGGACATCAGTGTCTCACCACCGGGCCAAGGTGCCAGGCCGGGGCGGGGCATAGCTGTCGTGCCGGTGCAGCTGTAGGAAGTCTTTGCCTGGGCCCTGTGCCAGCTCTGTGATCTCCTGGCTCCACCACCGCGCCTGCCGGTAGCTGCTGCACTTGAGAATGAGGGACCTGGACAGGAACAATGAGATGAACCACTAACCCTCATCTTCCGTACTTCCGGTCTTGCTCAGAGACTTCTCTCCTTTGGCTATCACCTTTTCCTATTTCCTTGGTCCCTAAGTGTGACTTCATAGACACTACCTTATTCACAACTGGGTCCCAAGCAGTTAATACTGTACCAAGTACTCAGGTTTGTTCAGTGAATAAATGAACGAATAGAATCCCCGCCCCACTCCCCGCCATACTGGGAGCCCTTCCCCCAGACTTATCCTAACTCCCTTTTCCCTTGACTTTCAAAAGTATCCCAAGCATCTGGCTGGACTAGCTCCCTGGTTCAAAACTGTGGCAGATCCAGAGGGGCAAGGAGGCGCTGGGGATTTAGCTCAGCGGCACAGCATCTGCCTGGCAAGCGCAAGGTTGTGAGTTTAATTCTCGGTACCAGAAAAAAAACAAAACAAAAGAGATTTTCAGAGGGGCAAGGAGTAGAGGAGCCTGCCTCTCCTATTTAACTCTCCATTCATCAGGTGGCTCTCACACCAGGGAGCGCTTACCTGTGGGAGGTGTCGACCCGCACCCCATACCGGGTCTCTGTGCTCCTTTTCCCCACCTGCACCTCGAAACCAGGGTCAAAGAGCTGAACAAAAGAGATGACACCAGTCTCCAGACGCATGTACAGCAGGAAGGAGTCTTTTACCACCAGCCACCTGGAGCAGAAGGGCACTGTGTGTTCCTCCCTGCCCTAGAGAGCACCCTCCTCACCGCAACCACTGCTCAGCCCCAGCCCTCACCTCTTGGACCAGCGATAACAGACTTGGTCTCGACCACAACAGGTGAGGCCAGGAACGCGGTGGCCGCCTGAGCGCTTCCGGATGACCCCCTCCCTGCAGGGCAAATCAGGAAGACACAGCCAACAGATGAGGACTCCAGGCCTAGACCCACCCTGCACTGCCCCATTCCCAAGCAGAAGGAGGATGAGGATGAGGGTGAGGGGCCAGGCACTCACAGTCCTTTGGGTCCTAGGTCTGGGATAAAGGAGAGCTGACTGACTTCCAGGAATTCTGTCTGCAGAGGAAGACACAAGCTCAGAGTGGAGACCTGGCTCTCAGCCCCTCAGACTACTGACTCTGACCCTTTCTCCCACTGGAGGTCTGATTATCCTGCTCCACTTCAAAGGTCCCCGGTGTCCAGTTCTGGACCTCACCATAGCATGGTAGTTGCGGTAGAAAGACATGGTCAGGAGCCGGTTGAGGTAATTTTCCAGGTATTTCTGAAGGGGAGATGAGAGAAACAGAGATGGGAACAGAGTCATTTGCACCCCACACACCTTCTCAGAGGACCTGTCTGGTCGCACCTGTTTGCTGGCTGCATGTCTGGTGGAGCCCTCAGCACCTCCTCGGGGCAGAGAAGGCATCTCTCTGTCAGCTCTGTCGGTTGCCTCCCGGGCTGGAGAATAGGCAACGGCAAAGCTGTGGAAGAGATGGGGTGTGGCTCAGCTAGGGGCCTGAACCACGGGAGGTGGGGTCCGTGCAGGAAGGGAGGCAGCCTTGAGGCTCACAGAAGGAAGGCTCCCCACCCTGGGAAAAGAGACAAGAGAAGGGGGAGGCTGCCAAGGGCAATTTGGGCATCCAGCCCGGTTGACATATTGGCACAAAACCATGGACAGGGAGAGCAGAGCAGAAAAAGTTTCCTGGTAACCAGAGTCGGGAAGGAGGCCCAGCAGCCAAAGCTGAGGGCAGGAAAGTGCCTGGGGCGGAAGGGATGGTTGTGGCCTGTGTGAGGCAGGCAAGAAGGAGTGGCGGCTGCCCCAGGGTTAGGGGTACCTGCCCTTCACAGGAAGAAGTCTAGATCCCCTCACCGAGCCAGAGGGAGCAAACTCATCAAGACTTTGTGTCTCTGGAGGTCCCGATGCAGCTCTTGGAAATGACGGAACTTCTTCTTGGTCGTCCATGTAAAGTCACCGTGAGTCAAGCGGACAGAGTACAGAGTGCAGGTTCCCACCTGGGGGTATGAGGAACTGAATCTATGTCCCCCGGCTGGGCCCCGGCCCTCCCCTCTGTCTGAATGTCCCTCTAACTCCCCTCCCTGGTGCCAGCCCAGCTACCTTGGATCCGCTGGTGTATCTTTCAGTTCCTACCACCTGGGCTAGGACAGGGACCCCAGGGGCAAACACCAGGGGGTGCATTTTCAGAGACTGAAGTTCATAGATGGCCAGAAAGGGATGCATTCTGTCAGCTGGGAGGAAAGTAAAGCCCAATGGCGTGAAAACTCCAGAAGTCCCAGGCCCCTGGTCCTCACCTCCCTGAGAGCCCTACTCCCTGTGTACCTGGGTCCTCGCCCTCCCTCAGAGTGTCGACCTCATCCGGCTCCATGTGTAACTGGCTGGAGTCCAGGTAGTCCAGGTAGGGGAAGGGGTACTCCTGGGTGGCCGTCATCCTAGAAATATTTCCAGGCCTTAGGGAGGTAATCTGCCCTACAGAAACCTGCCCCAGTATCCTAACCCTCAGGGTCCTTACTTCCTCACTACCTCATTCCCACTGAGTCCGACCCTCTCTGATTGCAGACCAAAGCCCCGCGGATCCCCTCGAACCTCCATCCCCTCCTTCGGTCCTTCATCGCAACCTCCTGAGCCCCGCCCCTCGTCCTCGGGGGACACCCAGCCTGGGATGGCCCCGAACTGGGGCAGCACCGAAGCCGGGAGGAAAGGGCTCCGGGATGATCCGACCGTCAGGAGACGCCCGGGGCCGCCAGGGCGCGAACCAGGCCAGGCCAGCTGGGAGCGGGGGTCCAGCGGGTATGAGGAAGTTATGCGCTCCCCGCCCAGGAGAGAAACCCCGAAACACGGGCGTGCGGCTGAGTCAGAAGGCGCAGCCGCCCCAGCCCATTCCTGTCCCCACCCGATTTCCCGGGCCCCGGACCTCCGCGGCGCCCTCCGCAGACCCTCACCCTGGCTGCCGGGGCCGGCGCCCGCGCGTCCGCTTGCCCAGGAGCAGAGCGCAGCCGGGCCGCAGCCCACTCC